CGTGCTATTTTTTCGAAATTGTATTAATCAGCGAAATTGATCACGTTAAATTATTTCTAACGAATTGCCTAACGGTCGGTGATTTTTAATTGTAACTGTTGAATGCGCCCTATAAAAAAGCGTAAACTATATTGCTATTAAGGAGCGGACACCTTTTACCGGTGCTCATGTCTCGCGTTTGTTTGTAACTGAAAATGCTCGATGTACCATGGAGCATTGTATGTATACATTGAACATAAGTGTATTATTTGAAGAAATAAAAGTGTTACACTATATCCTTTTTATAAAACAGTACGTGTACCTTTCTTATCTTCGAAATTGTACGGCTAAAAATACCCGTGCAAACATAAAACTGCACGCAACATTATCATTACAGAAACGAGTTTGGGTATCATCAAATAGCAATATCGTGTTTCTGATTCATCAATGGAGAATACAAAAATATTTCGATTGGATTTCTGTCCCTTGTTATTAATCATTTAAAAGCAGACAATTTAAAAATAAACTAAACATTCGTATTTTCCAATTTTTGAGTAATAACGTACACAGCAACAGTAATAGGATTTTCATTGATATAAATATAGAGTTTCACGCGATGTTATCGATATATTATCTGGCATTATAAGATAACTCATTGATCTGTCGTATTTACAGAGACTTGCCGAATACCGTCCTTACTTGGAAACATTCTACCTCGACAGTGGCCATCGCAGTGTTGCTCATTCACATAAAAATTAATAAATCAATCATACAATAATTTCTGCTCGTGTATATATTCATCAATTATTTAAAAAAAAATGTGTTTGACCAAGATCAAGTGTTCAACGTTACGTCCATGATAATTGACTGTTATGACTATTAGCGCTCATTCGTCTTTTAACAAGTGTGATGCGTTAACTCAAGTCACGACTGTGAAAAAGTATGATTAGTGAAAATTGAGAAAATCAAGAAACATTTCGTGTCACCTTTAACCATCGTCGACGAAAATCAAGCGAGTAGTAAAGAATCATTGATGAAATCGGTACGTTAACAATCGAGCGCTGGAAAGAACGAAGAACGCCATTGGAAATCCGTTGGACCCTAGACAGGCGCATGAGTTCGAAAACCAAGGTATTCAAGCATGACGTCATTCTGTTTGAAAACGATCTTGTCGGCAGAAATACAGCACGTGCCGACCGTTACGCTTCCAAAGAACAGGAAACCGACTCTAACATCGATGTACAGTAATATGATCACGTGGACAGGCTTCACGGAGATTGTGCAGCAACGCGGACGTTACATACGCAAAAAGCATGGGAACATGAAATAACCTGAAAACGTGCGTGCAGCGAATACTGGGAAAGAGAAGATCTGCTGTGATCGACAGATGAAACGGTACACGAAAGAAAGAGATGCCTATGTATTCGCGTCAAGATTTGAACACGACGCGTGCTTCCTACGAAGCGTGCAACACGCTCGGAGAAAGTGTTCCGTACACGTATACCGTCACGATGAGCCTCACAGCCAGATGATCCCGTCCGTTTTCGTGGTACCGGTGGCTAATACGAACCTGTCGATCGACGACCTTCTGATAGCGAGACGACGGAAGTCATAAAGCGTCGCCGAGGTTCTTCTCGTGCCATTGAGCCGGGTGAGTTAGTCATCGGCAATCGAACGCGTGTGTACCCACAGGCAGCGCGCATCCACGTACACGGTGTATCGAAATTCCGCTGTGTCGCTTTTCCAACGGCGTTCTATATACAAATAAGAGCATCAGTTTCACGAATAATTTCTTCGACTCCGATTACAACCAGATTCTTCGTTGGAAACAGAAAAAACATACGGTACACGTATTACACAACAACGAATTCTCGGTACGCTGACCAAACGCGGGAAGAATGATCGTAACCGGAAGTTTCGAAATTTAAATATCGACCTGTCTCGAAATCGTTTTTCTTATTCTGTGGGATTAGCGAAGGATACTTTGATCCCTAATCGAACGGTGCATCGATATTTTTGTCCATCGAAATTACACTGAAGAATGTTATACCGATGGAAGACTGTAACGTACAATTTTAAATTTTCCAATTTCACCGATGGTATAATTTCGTAATCGCACGGTGCCTCATAAGAATCGATTAACGTTATCGGTGGACGAAAGTACTCGCACACCATGAGCACTGGGGAACGTGCCGTGACGATTAACAGGTTCCCGAGTGCCGGGTAGGCGGCCAAATTTTCGGACACCCTGTACGTGCACGCATATCGAGTGCTTGATGCTGGCGTGCGTCCTTGGGATCTCCACCATGACTCGAATCGAAAAGGAGCCGTAGGTGTACGACCCATGTCCGTGGCTCGATTGTGTTACCTGTCGAGCTTACCATGCTTCATGGAGATATCGCTAGTGGAAAGTTTCGTCAGACGAAAGTGGTTTATTGCGCGCGACCGTTCACTGCGGCTAAATCGTCCGATCCACCGGCCAATTGTCCGAGCAACGTGTCTACATAGTGGAAACCGTATACCGTGCGCGCTATAGTGGACAGTTTGGCGGAAAATACGAATAGGGCGGAGGGTGTCGCCTGTTTCTGTGCTTTCGGGTGAGTGTTCATCGTCATACGAAAATAAATAAATATTATATCTCGGTAAGTACCACTGAAGCGAGTATGTGGTATCAGAGTGTTATGTTCAAACTGAGCGGAAGCGTACAATAGAATTTAAAGGAGAGTTTAAAATCGGCACTTTTCTGTGTACGCGTCGAGTACCTTGTACCAGATAATAACTGTAATTGTCATGTTCGATTAATCAATCTTTCTGAAGAATCTCTTCACGTTTCATGATAGACGTTTATTAATCTATAAAACATCGGAGGGGAACAACAAAAACGTAATATTTCTTTAGAAACAATATCAGTGGAAAATATATCTATAGTATCTGTACGCCCTTTTGCATTTTTTTACTATTGTCGCAGATTCCATTGAAGTTAACCGCAACTGATTTCTCAAGCGAGCGTCCTTCCACTTTGGTTTACAAAAAATCGATTCGTCACTTTGATATTATTAAAAGTACTTTCATCGGACGTGTATAAAATTTCTCTCAAGTATTAATAAGGGACTCTAATGAGAAATTGATGATTTCTTCGCATGTGACGTTCGAATGTGGTGCGTGGCTTTCCACTTATTTTCGTGTCGTTATTATATCGTTTCGGGAATCAGTTCGCGGACACAAGACCTCCAACCAGTTTTCTCGTTTTACCATTAAATTAACGATCGGTTCGCGGCTGGCCCAGCGTCGTAACGGTTTCCCGTGTCGTTGTAAAATTACGAGGAGACACGCTAGCTTTTTTTTTCCAAACAGCAATTACTCGCGCTACGTCGCCGACTGATTGCGTGATTCAGTCGGTCGCTCGATTATTCGGTCGTTAATCCGGCAACGCGATTATCAGCCGGCCAACGATGCTCCTGTCAAAAGTTTGATCGATGTTGGCGGCCCGAACCATTTGAAACCCTAAACGGTCCCATTCGGCTCGCCGCGACCGTGGCGCGTGTTTCAAATTGATCGGACCGCGTTTTCGAATGTTTTCGAATGTTTTCGAATATGATCGATTCGATTCGCTTGAAAATAAAAGCAACATTACTTACCGTTGATTAATTACGTCTTACGCAAGGCCGACTCGAATTCATGCCAGCGCCCCTATGTAAAATCATTTATGTCACTGCGCAAGCGTACTGAACGAAATAGTGGGGGATTCCCTTTTGGTGACCTTGAACCGATGTCTTTTGTTACGAGCTCATCTCGTGACTCTAATTCTTATGAAATAAACAATTTGTTCTTGTATTTTGATTAGAATCTCGAGCATTTATAAAATACTTTTTAAATATGTAGATTTAACACACTGGATGGCATGAGGGTCACCGGTGAGCCCCAACCAAATCGAATTACCATAGTTCATTCAATTAAATATTGATTATTTGAAAACACTTCTACATTATAAATAGTATTATCTAATACGGTGATCTTCAGCTAGATGAACGTGCAATAATAATAATAATGCGATTCAATCAAATGATTTAATATTATATTTCTCCCATTTCGTGTATTTTGCGAGTCACTGCTGTGATTATAAATAACCTAAAAGGTGTAATAGACGCTACAATAAATATATGTAAGAAGATAAAAACTGTATAGTTGTATCAGCAACGATATTGATGAAAGTATTGTACACAAAAGATATAAGAAAACGTTCATGATTACATTAAAAAAAGCAACCAGATCAATCTTTTCTCCGTATGCCATTATTTCTATGAATTGCACGGTTTAGTTGTTAAAACGATCCGGAAGAGCATCGTTATAAATGTTTGCGACACTCCTTGCATACGAACACGCGAGTGCAGGATATGATTAAGAATAAACGATTAAAAGCCTGATCGGAGACGGCATATTGGGAGGCCACCGCGGTTTTCAATCGCGATTTATTATTTTCCTCACGTAGATGGATAAATAGGCTATAACATCACAGTGGACTTCATGGGAATCGTTATGCTGATTGCTATTTTAGCGCTTCAGTACTCAATAATAATATTTTTATTCCATTAAAAATTAAGGAATTCGAATTAATGTCACTCAATACCGACAACATCAAGACCAATTCATGACCAAAAGAATCGGATCAAACCATTTGAATCCATTCAATGTAGGACCTAGAAACTTGAATTGAAGTCATGAAGGAATGTCGAACTTAAATTTAATGCCCAGTTCGTCCAAGGACAACCTGTAGCCCAGCTAATTAAGAAACTTAAATCCAAGGCCATCCGGACCCAGTGACATATTAGAGATCCCTAGATCGTGGGACTTGAGCCCGAGGCCTAGTAGGTGCGAGACTCTAACTGTAAGCCCAAGACACATCAGACTCAAGGTTGCAAGACTGGGTGTTCCCAATATTTTGGAACCAAAAACAGACGGCTAAGTCTTCCCAGATCCACATACCCATTTTCCAGTTTCTCCCAAATTTACGGACCCACATTCTAAACCTAAGTATCCAATTCCAAGATCCCCTACATCTAGAAATTTATGTTCAAATGTTAAAATTTGCATGTTTGATGCATTTGGAACTTTTGCTACTGGGTTTGATTCATTTGTTCTCGTTGATGTTGAATTTGAATCTTTAAGGGCAGACCGACCTTTACGTTATCTCTGTTCGATTAAACATAGAAGATAAGTTCAGAAAGTATAGGATATTTTTGTTTACAACGAAAACACCTGGAAACCAGACGTGTTTACGGGGTGAATAACATCAAGCGATGCTCGCTCTGATTGACAAAGGTTCAATTCATGGATGCGCTCACTATTTCCGGTTACGTGAAGTATTCAACCGTGACACGTGGTTCACAATGGCCAAGCAGTTGCCCGTAAAATCTCACTTTCACACTCGGTGTCACCAACACCTAACATGAACCTTTTCTGCTTATTTCATTAAATATCATAAATAACAACTAAAAGACCAATACCTTCTCTGTGTTTATAATAAAGTATATTCTTGGTGAATTCTACCCGTTTAAAATTTGATTTATTGAATTCACTATTTATAGCAAGGTCCAGGCTAGATAGTTCTAAATCTACTCAATCCTTAACATTTTTTTTAAACTACAAAAATTCAGTTTCTCAATAAAGGCAGAATTTGTAGATGTGGATATATAATAAAAGCATTGTTTAAGCTGGAAAATGGCCAAGTAGCTTTTCTTAGCTTCTGGTCAGCCAAGTTCAGATTCCTATGCGGTAGAATTGAAATAGAGTCAGAACCGATCACCTTTTAATAGTACATAGTTACATAGTTTAATAGCTATCAGAGGGGAACAGAGGGTCACTGGTCAAAGAATGATCACGTGTGTGCTCGTCGCACAATTGTCATGAGGGCTGGGCGCGTTAAGATTCCCATCAGCCTCTAGCCCCAGTACAGAACTTGAGTCACGGCCAGCCGATCGAGATCGCAATACCCAGAATCGAACAGTGAACGAGCCGTAGATCAAGATCGTGACCGAGGATGAATCACAATTCGAAGCGACCGTCCCCGAGGAAGCACAGCTCGGCTGGCCTCTAGAGCGCCAAAAAAAGAATCATCGTTCGAACCTGGTGAACAGGTTTTCAGTGAAAACGCACTGCTCGCGAACCCAATGGAGAAAGTCATCGTAATAACGGGTCCCGTTAACCCTTTTCAGGGCAAAGTACTTGTAACATAAGAATTTCTTTTTCATTGGTTACTTTTTAAATAAGAACTAAGAATGAATTAATTAATTATTTTCTATCTTGAGTATAATCTTCATTTTACTTTGAATTTGTACAAATTAATTTATGGAAAATTAAAAGTTTTCCAATATTGATTAGAAAAGTTCTTTTTCGCTTGTTTATCAGCGTAACATACTGCCAATACGAAACTATTATTATTATTATCATTGATTCTTTATCAAAGCGATGTACTACCAGTTATGTAAAACTATCATTATTTTCATTGTTCTTATTTTGTTCTCGAAGTTATAACATTCAACCTCCCATACACTCTTCCCATAATCACCCTTACCAAAACATTCCACAAACTCTTTCAAAAATCCAATCACACCACTAATTCTCGAAAACACCACCCCAAAATTCCAAACACCAGTGTACAAGAATATTAACACACACTCGCCAATCAACAGCACTCGACCAACCCACTCCAATCTCCATCGCAAAGGACAAATCTCCCAATTACATTAACGCAACCCAGCACCCCGGAACCTGGCTCTAAATCGTGAGCTAATTCCCCGTTATCTCCGCGTCGTAATCGCGTTTCCCGCGATCGCGATTCCGATACCTATGTGCATCACTTGAACATTGAAAACTCACTGCACCCCGCCTTTGCTTTCAGTGGCGAGCGATCCTCGAGCGGTAGTGGTTGGCCATCTTCGTTCTCCAGAAGAGGAGCCTCTAAAACGATCATCCCAGACCTAGGAGCTAAAGACTTTCATCAGCGAGTAACTCAACAAGCAAGAGACGTGTGATTCATACCAGCGTTTCTTATCTCACCAACCGAGCAGTCGCGACCGGAAATTCGGAAAAGCGTTAGAGAGGAAGAGGGAACCTTAATTTTCGCGTTCGCAGCTGAACGCTGCAGATTCGAGCGTGATTCGCTTAGCGAACGGCGGCGAGAGGTAAAAAAAACGGCGGGGATTCACGGGGTAGGGACACGAAGAGAGTGATCTAGAGTGGCCCATTTCCCTTATCACGATAAAGCGTGGTGCTCTAACGGTAGTAGTTGTCCGGAGACCGCCGCACGGTGACGGTGCACGAAGCTCCACGCGGCTTCGCTTGGGCCGTCTTCTCAGGGTGGTGACTCATTTTACCACGCACAGATCAGTCTGCCAGTGAATTGTAGCCGCGATGTATCGAGGAACCGGCACGGGGTCGTCGCCGTCCATGTCCTCATCAGCCTCACCGTCTTCTTGGCCGACTGAGTGAAAGACCAGAACCGCGCTCACGCAAGCACGCCCAACCACCTACTCGTTTCCGGCCCCATCGTGTCACCGTCTCGCGGAACATGGACGTGGAACTGGTCACGCGAGCGTCCTTGAACTCGCTGCAGGTGGTGGACGACGGACGGATCGTCTCGCCGAACAGTCTTGACGAGTGGACGTGGTCTAGCTTGAGAGTAAGTCCCTTGGCTTTGTTTTTGGCTTTGGTTTTGTTATTGTTTTTCAGCTTTAAGGGTTCATAGGGATCATCGATGGAGTGTACGGTGTAAGAGCATGGTTGAGATTGGTAATGGGACAGTTTAAATGTATATGATTATTTTTATTGTATTGTTGTTATCGTTATTGTAATGATACTTTTATTGATGATACCGGTATTGATGATGATGGTTGTTATTTGTATGTTGTATATCGTGTTGTAGGGTGGTTTGAAATATATGTTTTTCGTAGTTTTGTATGGTGCAAATGGTTATGAGGTACTGCGATTGTACGAGCTTCAGGGAGTTGAAGAGAACTATTTATTAGTAGCACTGGAAAGATGAGTCTAGCGGTTTTCTTAAAAAATTTCAAACTACTTGGTAACAACATAGTTAGCTTCGTTTTCTTTTAGACTCTTTTATTGCTAGGCACGGCAACGTTCTCGTTCACGCGTGGTGGGTATTTGATTACTACCCCAGCAGTAAATGGTCGATCAACATTGTGAAGGTGATCATTGAGGGAATTATTTGCCCACGAATTGAAAACGGAAGGTAGTATTGCATCAAAGGGATAGAAGAATAGTTGACGATATTGGAGAAAAAATGTTAACGAAATAATCAATTTATTGTTGGTCTTCTTATCAAATATAAAAAAGGGCAAGTTCATTTTTATATCGATATATTATTAAATGAAACATATTTTCTTTTTAAAATAAGACGACACAAACATCGTTGTTTGCAATCCAAAATTGGTATCTAGTTGATACTTTAAACAACAGTATCTTAAAAGTGCAAATACGTGATTTATATCATTTTGCTTTGTAATTGCGGATCTAATCCCTAGAGTAGATTACAAACTTGTGTAATTAGAATTGTGAGAATTGATATGATTGATAAGGGGATACCTCAAAGAAAAACATTCTTGTCCCAGAATCATACGATTCACTCCACCTTAAGGACACTTGAAAGTGACTTTCAGATCGTTGACCAAAATGTATTAAGTTCATTACACGAAATTCATATTACTTAGAATCCAAACGATCTGCATACTGATACATTATAATAGTATCTTGGAATTTCAATAATACCATTGGACAATGAAAACTTAAGTGCAGTTAAATTGGATGGATATAAATATTAATAGATCTATCAATAAGTAATCCATTCCATTCGATGTAGTTTTGATAATAAAACTCCCAATCTCCAATGCTCAATTCAAATCGTGTTGAAAGATTCAATGGATTAATTATTGATGTGTTTAGTAATACCTAGAGCACTCATACAACCACGATTGACTCGTTCATTGAATGAACAACGGGCAACCAGTCTCTTATCTTCCATCCGTTATTTAAAACTTTGTTATCCAGATAACAAGTTTACTAGCGCTCGCGTGAAAGCCTCAACCCTCTACCATTCACCGAACCAATTAACCTTATCTGTAATTGCTTTCTCCATCTATTTTTAAAAAGCTGAAAATTCGGAGGAAACTTCGGAGGGCAAAAAATTGAGACTCCATCAGATTACTACTTTCCTTGATCCTTAAACTCTACTATTTCATTCGTTCAATTTACATACAGCGTTATCTTACTATCGAATACACATTTTTTATTTGTAAGATATTTTCTTAGCATTCGAATACTTTCCAATACATTTTCCACTTGAAGAATTATTAATCATTTCTTTCACTATCTTTCCTTCAGAAGCATTCTTCTAATAGTTAAAGGTTCCAAAATATTGTGTAATCCCATAAACAATGCAGTGCTTTATATCCCTTTTAAAAAAGCCGACATTATCTTAAGATTTAAATTTGTAAAAATAAAAAAAATATAAAAAGACCACATTATTTACAGCATGACAATGATCATCCAATATAATATTGTAAAGACTCAGTTACAACTTCACCTCCCACAGTCCCAAAAGAACACTCGTACGCAAAGCCTAAATGGTAACAGCTGCTCGATAATTTCTACCGTAATCAATGGTTACGTGAGTGGGTTGTGATCTCGGCATTCGTGAAAAACTTCCTAGACTGCGATTCTCCGGCAGGAGATCGCGGTTTTTATAGCGTCGCCGATTTTCGTCGATCACGGAGGACGTTCGGTTCACGTTAGAACCGGAAAAGGAGCTGATCGAGCTGCGGCGTACGTTTTAATCGCCGCGGATGATGATTAACGCAGACTAAGGTTGTTTATGGGTCGACTTAACGCCGTGCAGCTTGTTTACGAGCCGCGATGGAATTGCACCGGCGATTTAATATTAACTCGGCTGCGTCCATTTTGGAGGTCGCCGGTCACCGTCGCGGCGCTGTGCGGCGCAGCTGAATCTAATAAACATTCGATCCTTAGAGGGCAATGTTTACGACTCGGTAAATATGATCATTAGAACGCGGACGTTGTGAATCATTTGACAAACTCGGTTGTTGCATCGGTGTTTACATTTTTCAGTGAATGTCCCCTATTAGAAGTAAATCGAGAGGAACGTTTTTAATCGCTGTTTGTCCGTGCGTACTGTTTTAGTAATTGCCGCTTTGGTATTCTTTTTTTTCTCTTGTTTTTTTTCTTTTTACTTACGTTTCAGTTTAACGAGGGAAGTGTATTAATTTATGGCCGCGCGTGGAAACGTGTGCGGATTACGCATGCAAAATTTCCTTATAAATTCGTTTAATAGTCACGTGGAAGGATCCGGCAGACGGATTTAAGTGTGTTTAGGATGTAAAAACAAACGGCGATAACGGCAAGGTCAATGGTGCCGTAACCGTAATGGCGATCGTTATCCCGGCATTTACATCGAAATTTGGCGACGCTGCAGCGATCGCTTCAGGGTTACATAGTTTCGTTTAATTAATTTGTAAAATACATAGAATGTAATAGGCACTTCTAGTTCAACAATTGAACTGAACATTTTGAATGAAATTTCATTGTACTCCAGTTTTCGTGTGTTTCACGTTATTTTCCTCACTTCGTTTTATCTTTTCGTATTCCGATTTCTATTCATAGAGTACAATACTTAATTCATTCTACTTGCACTACTCTGTTTTCCATTTTGTTCCATCGGCTACAAAGAAACGTTTCTGTCTTCCATTCATATTATTGATTTAAATAATACCACTAGTATTTTCATTGATATAATTCAAATAATAATATTAATCATATGAATTAAAAATATTATTAAGCGTCCAATATAATGTTCTTTGCCTTTAAATAATATATAATAATATAAAAATAATATCATCAGCAATTTGCAACTGCTCGCTTCGGTTAGTGGTGTTTTGCATGGTCTGAGGAAATATCTCGTGGAAAGGTAATTGAATTATATGGTCGACGTTAGAAAGGAAGACAAGACGAGTGCATCGTTGGAATCCGCGTGTTTATCGCGGCCGTACGATGAACGTTTCCCGCGAGTCGCGATTGATCTACCGATATCAACCGAGGATTCTTGATTGCACGTCGTACGATCGCCGTGAGCTGTTCCGCGAGTGTTATATCTCAGATTTTTCACGCTTGCGACCGGATTACAAGAAAAACTAGGTGTTTTTACGCGCCTCGACAGTACTTTTGTAATATCGCGACTTGTATCGATAAAACATCTCGATAGCCGCGCTGTGACCGAGAAAAAAGTATTGAATCTCGATCGCGCGTCCTTCGGGAGATATTCTTCATGTTTTTTCATATGGGAACGCGTAGATGGTCTTTAGGTGCTCAATTAAGTTCATTAAAAATATTATACATTTAGATACTTGGATACCTTAACACTGGAACTACTGTACCCGTTAAAATATCGGGTTTTTTAAAAGTAGTTCCCGTTTTTATCGGGATATTTTAAAAGTATTCAATATCCGAAACGGTTTTGGAAATTAATAAAATAGTTTCTATAGTTTATATAGCTAAAATAGTTTCATTTAAGTACTATAACAAATATTTGAAGATATCGTAAAAAATGTATTATTATAATATTCTAATATCGAGCAATAAATTGTGGACTAAATGAGATTTCTTATGTAAAAGTAGATTATTCATTTTTAATGACTGTACGTGTATTTTATTTTTCTATGACAGGATTTAGATATCTTTTTCCTTGCAATTATAGATTTATATATTTGCATACTCCTTCGACAGACATATACTTCGGATCTGCAAAAAATATAGGTATCATTGTTCAAATTGGTATTGCAAAATGACTAAGCAAATGTCTATTTCGGAATGATTTTCCTCTTCCTTCGTTTTGTCAGTAAAATATACCAAATTTCCTGCTCGTTCAGTAAATAATTCCAATCTTCTAAATAGCAGTGTGTATCGGGTTATGTAATATGTAAGTGGAAACGACAAGCAATGATCAGACATGCCTGGAGAATATTCGAGTTCAATTTACACGAAAATGGAGTGTTCTATAAAAAGGTTTTATTACACACTCTCAATTAAGCTTTTCGCGATTAATAACCAATATTTATAATAAAATATTAAAAATTGATAAACCACGCATATTCAGTAAATTTAAATATTTATGGAATTATGTTTCTCGTTTCTCAGTTTGTACTATTTAAGTGAAATCAGTTAGTTTCGCGATAGAAATTCAGTTAAGAATGATTAATTATCGTCTAGATACGGATAAACGATTATTTTTCTAAATAATATTATCTTCAGCGATGTTCAAAACATTCTGCAGGAGAGCGTTATCGATGGTCTGTTATCGATAGTTCTAATCACGCGGCGCGGGAATGCTAAATATTTTCAGATATCGACCTCCGAGAGTTACACAATAACATCGATTCAGAGAAAAGCTGTTCCTTCCTGCAATTAATAATTGCATCCAATTAAGTTTTCCAGAAAAAGAAGAATGCATTTTGTGCGAATCACTTGGAATCAGTTTGATCTAGGGATTGGTAATTACAGCAACTTATTTCCGTTGGTACTAAGTATATTTCCTTTTCTGAGATACTGGAGGAATTATTGGAACCAATAACAGAGGAATTAATGCAGTTTAAG